TATATTTTCATCCCTTGTAGCATCAGGGTCATAGAAAACGGCAGCCTATGTTTGTAATATCAGAATAACTGCTCTCTGATCACTTAAAAAGATGTTTTATTTTCAAGTAAGACAACCACAATAATCAGCATCCTCGCTCTCAGCTTTCCCATGTCCTTGCCACATCAGAACTGGCAGCCACCAGAACTAAACTGAAACCTAAAACAAGCCCATGGAGCAGCGAAAGACAAGGAGCTGGACCATCTCCTCCACCCTAAGGATTCTTTTTTTTTTTTTTATAATTTTATTTACTTGTTTTTCCCCCCAAAGCCCCAGTAGATAGTTGTACGTCATAGCTGCACATCCTTCTAGTTGCTGTACGTGGGACACGACCTCAGCATGGCCGGAGAAGCGGTGCGTCGGTGCACGCCCGGGATCCGAACCCGGGCCGCGAGCAGTGGAGCGCATGCACTTAACCGCTAAGCCACGGGGCCGGCCCAACCCTAAGGATTCTAACCACACACTCAACCCCCTCACTCTGCAAGTCCTGCCTTCTTTCGCATGCTTGCCTCAAAGCTAGAGGGCCACTCACCCCTGGGATTCTTTGGTCATAACTTCATTAAAAAAAAAATCAACATACACAAAAGGGAAGGGAACATACACAAAAGGGAACAGAAAAATGACCACCACTGCAGCATGACCTTAAAAGTCTCACTATTAAGGACCCAGCTGAAGAAACTGCCAATTCTTGGAAAATGATTCTCCAAGGGTCTCTCACGTCCCTACACATCTCGTGAGCTAGGCACCAACTGCCTTAGTTCCAGAATATCTTTTCAAGGATGTTTGTGAACAGTCTTGGATGGTAGAGATGGTGTCTCTCTCTGGAGCAAAAGTCAGGCAGGCTTACTGCCCATTATAAAATACTGTGGTTCCTGAGCTTGGGTTTCCTCTTGTAACGTAGTCCACTGCATGTGCAGGTATCACCTGGCCCTCTTCATGGGGCCCTGCAGGAACTGGAGCTCAGGGAACCAGTGCAAATGCTGGTAAAGTGAAATGCTACTGCTGTTGCTGTGAGTAATAAACTGTCCTTTATCTCTGACTAGGAGTCTCATAACTTCTGCCAGGACCCATGAAACCATGGCCTGCTAGCTTATTTAGCTTACAAATAGGGTAAAATTTGAGACCCTAGACAGTTCTGATACCCACGTGTTCCTTTAAGAATCCAGAGCTATAAAAGACCAAATCCAGTTAGCAAAAAGCACTGTCTGCTTATTCCACACACACAAAAGAAGACCCAGTAAACATCATTATGTTGGAGAGCACTTTAATAGTCTACAAATTGATGCAGTTTTATTGTCATGATATGTTGAATCTTATAGTAACAGTAAAATTTTGAATATTTCATAGTAACAGTAAAATTTTGAATAATTTTATAGTAACAATATTTTGAATAATTTTAAAGTAAAAGAAGAGAGAGGAAAATAATTCCCTCACAGTGAAATTTTCATACACTATACGGAATTTCCCACATCTGTCCAGTTCTGGCTCAGAACAATACATAGCTAATATATTTTAGTCATTTTTTTCTACTACTTTTAAAAGTTATTTCAGGGGGCCGGCCCCGTGGCGTAGCGGTTAAGTGCGCGCGCTCCGCTGCTGGCAGCCCAGGTTCAGATCCCGGGCGCGCACCAACGCACTGCTTGCCAGGCCATGCTGTGGCGGCGTCCCACATAACGTGGAGGAAGATGGGCACGGATGTTAGCTCAGGGCCAGTCTTCCTCAGCAAAAAGAGGAGGATTGGCATGGATGTTAGCTCAGGGCTGATCTTCCTCACACACACACAAAAAAAGTTATTTCAAATAGTAACTGGGAAATTAGGACCTATCCCTGGCACAAAGGAGAATACAAAGAATTTGGTTTCCTGGCAGACAGAGTTTTAACAAGTGCATCAAGCAACAATAGTTGGGGGTCAAGTCTTGCACACATTCTTTGCAAGGGTACCAGCAGCCATCCCAGCTCTCATAATTTTAGGCGCATGAGAAATGGCACACAAAAACGGCATGCAAAGGACTGTGAATTCCAAATAATTCTCTCAAGTCCTAAGATTTCTGTTTTTCCTTTTGTAAGCATGACTCAAGCCCATGAAAACAAGGCGATGGTAGCACTTAAAGGCGATCAGAACTCCTTGATTATCTCATGGGCCACCCAAGACTCAACGGCATCACCTCAGTGGACTCAGCTGAAACAAGTTTTCGCTTGAGCACTAACCATGGAGAAATGGAACGTCCTGCTGCCATGTACAGGCAATGACCCAGACAAGACTAAATGCTCTTCCGTGTAAGAGATGAACCAATCACTCTTTACTCAGCGACAGATGGGGGAATAACATGAGAGAGAAAATATCCTGGTACAGCAGGCCAAACTGGGTTACTGGCTTTTCTTAGACCACCCAGGCAGGTTTTTGAATGGCCCTAGCTAGGGGCGAAAAAAAAGACAAGAAAAAACTAAAGGGCAAAATGAGGCAAGGGAGAAGGCTGGAGGCTGGCTTTGGGGTCTGGAATCAGGCCCTAATTCTCCTCGTTTATCTAAAGTCCAAGAGCTGTCTAGGGAACTCAGGAAGGGCTATTGGCTCTACCTTTTAAGACATACTTATTCATCCCGGTCTACCAGGTGCCTGTGTTTTCTTTCTAGGTGCCTATAAATACAACTCCATTACAGTTCTATTTGGCTAATAACTTATAGAACATTTAAAATATCAGGTAGGTGGACATCTCCTCATGGCTTTTGTGTAAGGGCCCAAGGAGAGAAACAACTGGTGCGAGATTCCCACCCAGCGCCCTCTCCAGGGATGCTGATGACAAAAGAAGTTGCTGCCCTGATTTCTAGAATGTCTGGAAATTCTCTTACTGTTCTTCTTCAACGATGCAAAATGCCATATTTGCAGAGATATCCGAATTACTTCAATCAAGGCCACTTTAAAAATTTCATTAAAAAATTAATCAGATTGTTTAACTAATCAGTTACCCAATTTGCAGACAAACCCCTGCCACTTCTGACAGTGGCTCCGAGGCCATTTCTTCACTCTGCTTGACTTGGAAGTGGAGCAAAGGTGCGTCAGCAAGGCCAGAAACGGTCCTCGGTGGGCAAAGACAGGTTAAGACACACTGGCTGGCTTCATTTGCCCACAGCCTTGCCAGAGCTGAGCTGGGCAGCTTGACAGGAGAGAGGGGTGTGACCCCCAGGTCACAGCTCCACGCATTCACGGGCTTCAGGAGGCCCAGCTCGTGAAAAGGGACCAATGAAAGCACGCAGCCCGGGCTAAAGTGACATCTGGCAAAGGACTCCAACAGAATGCATCTAATAATAATGGAAGAGACTATCCATGGTGCCAATTCTGTGCTTCTTACAAGTAACTGCTACCAAATGAGTCAAAACAAGGCCTAGAAGTGGAGCCAAGACCAGTGAAAAGTCTGCGAGTCCCATGTGCCTTGAGCTCCACTGACCGCCCTCTGTGGCCCCAACTGCCCAGTCCCCTCGCTCTGGGTGTGGGGTGAGGAGGCAGAGAGCGGAGGCCAGATGCCATGCAACTGGCCTGGCTGCGAGCGGTGAGAGGGCCCCGCCCTCCTGTGACAAGGCCATGGGGCCCTCCCCACAGGCTGAGAGAGCAAGTGCCGGCCAACCTTTTTTTTTCTTCACAGCTTCTTCTCACTGAAATACCAACGGGTATTGACCTCTAGCCTCAGGAATGTGACATGCAGGGCAAATTCTGCCTCTTCAGTGTAGAGATGGCCTTGAAATCTTGCCAGTGTGTGGTCCTCCCTTAGCCCCTGCCACCCCAGGGTGTCAGCGTGATGAAATGCATAAGGCAACAGCACCCAATTTCAATAGGATCTGTTCCCAGCTGACCTTTAGTTAAGACTACAGTGCTGTGACCTGCTGGAGTCTAGCCTGTGTGAAGCCTGAGATTCCTAACACACCAAAGAAGGCATCTGAGTTCAGCATGATGGCTGAATTCCTCCTTAATCTGAGACTTGGTAAAGCTCTTACCTGTGAGGTATTTTTTGTTTGTGGAAGACTGTGAAAGCAGAGGGAAACACTTAAAAAAAGAAAAAACAGACAAAAGCATGTACCTTATACCGGTTTCTTCCAACATAGTGCCTGTGTCAAGAACTGGGCAAGAGAGAAACCTGTGAAATGAATATAATAACTTATCTGGAGGCCCTCCCTCCCTTGCTGGCCTAGAGATCTCACACACACAAAAACTCTCCTCATTTATAAGGGGCTAGCTCTCAGCATGTGGGCAGGACTTCCAAGTGTTAAATAAGCGAAATAGGCACAAGAGATGTCCCCACATAGGATCCTGAGACTTGCCTTGGCAGGAGCGACTCCAAAGTCACAGACTCTGGACAGCTCCAGATAAAAAGCACAAATAAGGGGCACAGAGAGCCTGGTGCCTGCACCAAGTTCTCGTCCCAAAGCACACTTTGCTAGAACAGGGCAAATCTCCATCGGGCCCCTAGCTGCCTTGAAGGGAGTGAAGATTTGCAGCAGCACAGAAAATGCTGTCAGTGGACGAGCAGGAAACTCTGTCTCGCTTATTTCAAAACTTAGCTCTGGCTGACCAAGTAAATTCTTCCTAAGATACAAAGCACACGACGGGGCTTCCCTCTTGCAATAATGCAATTAAAATTTGCAGCCATTTTACAAAAAAACTGAAGCTCTGGGATGGAAGAAACCATAGGGAGTGTGTGTGTGTACGTGTGTGTGCGCACGTGCGCACGCGCATGCAAGTGTGTATAAGGATGGGAGGGGGTGTTTGGGTGCAGGTGTTTTCCTAAGAGGAGGGAAAGGGTTGAATGTACTGGCAGCTGAAATCTCTCTTCCGAGGATATTGTGAAATAAGTCCAATGCAAACCTTTCCCTCTGAAGCATGAACTGTTCCCAGAGGGGACAGGAGGGTTCATTCAGGTGCACTGATGCGATCTCCTGTCACATGCCACATGCTTGCTGGAGTGTCTTCCTGAGTAATCTGGTGAGGGTGTGGCAGTGGAGAAAGGCACTTGGAAACTACACATACAGATAGGCAGGGTTCACCCCCCAGGTTAAAGGCAAGGCGTCCCACACGGACGTGCAGGAACTCGCCTGCCCACCCCTTCTCCCTCCAGCCCAGTTCCACCCCAGGGCCGCTGGAATCAACAGGCAGATTTCTCATTGGGCAACCCTGGCTCTCATGCGCGCCATGCCGTCTGTGAGAGGCTCTGGCTAGAAGTGGTGCTGGTGAAGGGCTGTGGACGAGGGGCCTTTCTCCAGCCTCTTGACATGGCAGGAGTGACAGAACAGGTGGTCCTCCAGCGGGTAGCAGCGGTGACCGTCTTCATCATTGAGTTCCAGACCACAGTCCTGGGGTAAGGCAAAAACGTCCAAACGTTTTGTTTGTAGCAAAACAAAACAAATGGACTGTAAGACTGACACAGTCCCCACAACCAGCAGAAGGTGTTGCACGATTCTGTAGAGGCAGAAAATGCCGGTGCAGAAGCACACAGCTCCTGCCTAGGGAGGGTCTGGACCGTGCTGTCCGACACAAGAGCAGCATGTCGCTCTCAACTTGAAATGGGGCTGGTGGGAATCGGGATGTGATGTCAGTGTAGACACACACCAGATTTCCAAGACTGAGGACAAAAAGATGTTAAACATCTCATGAAAAATTTCTTAGATTACATGTTGAAATAACATTTTTGATATATTGGGTTGAATAAAATATTATCACAAAAATGAATCCCACCATTTTTTTTTACTCTTTTAATGTGGCTACTAGAAAACTTAAAAGTACACATGCCTTGAATTTGTGGCTCTTGGATTTCTATTGGACAGTGCTGGTCGGGAATGTAAGGAGAGGACTGTCGGGCAAATGTCTTCACCATTTTCTCCAGCACCTGGGGTACCACTGACAATGATTCCCACCTATTTCTTCAGCTGGCAGTGGGATCAGCCTCACACCACCACCCGCCACTCACCCCACGCACAGTCACAAAATAAACCTATTCTCCTTCCATGGGTGAATCCACTTAATTCTGGCTGAAACTTCACAGGCCCTTAAAGTGTTTGTTCTCTTCACAAGGGCTTGCCTGACAGTCATGGGGCACCAGTGGCTCCTTCAGCCTAGGGTGTGACACAAGGACAGAGAAGGGGCAGATGGGCCCCCACCCACCTTCACACCAATCAGAGACATGCCTGTTTCCAAGGGGGGTTTCTTCATGATATCCAGGGCTCGGCTGAGAAAGGGGCTCTTGGCAGATACCACAGCCTATAAGTTGGAGGGGAGGGAGTCTATTCCCTAAACCACACAACTGCCTGACAATCTGGTTCCCAAACAGGACCTGAAACACACTGCACACGACCCTCCCAGCTCTGCAGTTTCAGGGAGAGCAGCTGTGATGGTCTCAGGACTTGGCAGTTATGAATGTGGAGAAGATAGTAAAGACCTTTATACCCCAAACATCTGCATCCTCTCTAACCTCCCCCCCAATCACGTTTCACCCCATTTCCTCCATCAGCTCTGGAGGGCAGCCCCTTGCCCGAATCTTGCTGACCATCTCATGCCCCAGTGAACCCAGGATGCTTTTCTCTTGGACTTCTACAACGGGCTTTGGGGACCTTGGCAGGGTGCCTACCTCACAGTGGTAACACTCCACATGGTAGTCTCTGTCCATGGACACAACACGGATGGTCTCATCTGAGCCCTGGAAGAAAGGAAAGCAAGAACAAGAGGCCAGTTGAGGGGCCCACAGGGCTCCACATGCTGAGGGGGTTGGGGGATTCTGAGGTAACAAGCAGGCAGCCTTAGGAGAAGAGCATAAATGAGTAGTGGATATAACACTAGTAGGAGAAAGGACGCAGTCAGCTGAGGAGAGGAAGTGGGAGGGACAGCAGTCCTACCTTCTGGAACGTCAGAGTCAACACTGAAAAAACCACCTACACGGATGGTTCTTTTTAAAAAATTAATAAAAGGCAAGCTTTATGCTTATCTTCTAACCTAGGAGTTAGTACCAAGTCAGAGTTTGACCTGATTATAGGAACAAACAGGTCACAAGAAGGACACTGGCCTGGGGATGCTGGCTAGTGAGAAAGGAGCTTCTTGGTGAGGACACTATTTATCTCAGAGCTGAAATTTTGGAAGGGTTTATTTTAAAGGTGGAAGAACAGGACACAGATCTTGGAATGACCCAGGAGCAGGTCTGAAAGAGCCTCTTACCTCAGGTGGAAGGATGGGAAGCCCACAGGCTGCACACTTGGGGGCCAACACCCTGGAGGGAGAAGCAAAGGAGCAGTAAAGGCACATTGTGGTGTTTCTGGGAGGCAAGGCCCAGAATGAGACTTGTGTCTGGAGCCTGCAGGGAGCCTTGCTCACTGGCCCAGCCCTGTCTCCTGGCCGGCGCTCTCCATGTAAATCCTGCCAGCTCTCGTGTAAAGACGAGCACGGCTCTCCCTCTGGGATATGCTTCAGTACTGCTTCAAGATTGTTCCTCAGGGTAACAAGCACATTTGGCTGCCTCTCCCTCTCCTAGGGATCGAGACCAGCCTGTCTGTTTACTCCTTCCTGGTGCCTAACATAGGCCCAGGCAAACTGAGGGAAACCAGCACCGAATCGGCGCCTTTTGAAGTCGTGTAAAGCTGGAGCCACAGGGCTTGGTGGTTAATCCTGAGGCCTAGCAGGCAATCTGATTACAGGTTTTTATGCTGTTTTTTCAGTAAACATGATTCTTTAACCAGCTCCTGCCTGCATGGGCATCAACTGACCTCCCGAGGCTCCTGCTACACCCCTCGCCATTAAGCCTGTGCAGGACTGTGGACCAACAGTACAGGCAGCCTGCAGCTACCCCAGCAGGCTTCCATCTTCAGCTCTGCTGAGAGCAGCGTGGCTTACACAGGCACCTCCTCTCGGCTCCCAGCTCTCCTTACTTGTGGTAATCTCGAACACAGTAGATCTTGTTCTCTGAGTCCACGGTGAAGGGCACACCGTCTAAACACTCGTTACAGATGACACAGCGGAAACAGCCAGGGTGGTAGGATTTCCCCAGGGCCTGCAGGATCTGGGGGCGCAAAGGAAGAGGCCAGGACTCAGCAGGGATTATGGGGAAGGAAGGGATGGCAGAAGGGAGAAACACATCAGACCAAGGGACCATATGAGCAATCAACCACATGGGGCTCACTCATCCCAATTTCACTTGGACCAAGGTCAAGATGACAGGGCAGGAAAAGCTCATCTAGTTAGATGTATAAACAGGAGGGAACCAAACAGGATCCTTCTTCTGTACTTCATAAACCTCCAGGAACGAATTTAGAGGGCCCCCATCAACAAACTTTTACAGTTTTTTGCAGGAAATGATGCAAAGCAGCGCCACGAAAGGATCCATCCCAGATTTGGGAAGCAGCAAGTACGTGGAAAGATTAAAGGAAATACCACATGGAAATGGCAGAGCTTGGAAAAAACCTCTTAACTTCTGCCTCCTGGGTGCCCTTTCTAAGCAGCTTTGACTCTGCAGCATGAAAATCCAGAAGCCGTGACTTGGCGGGCCCCTGATTATCTCAAATCCAAGTGTAAGCAAAGCCTCTTTGTTGTTTTTAAACACAACAAAGAGAAAGCCCCACAAACCTTCTTCCTCTCAGCATCATTCGATCTGGATGTGATACCCGGAACTGTAAGAGGCCATCTTGAAACCAAGACAGAGCCGAGACAGGGAGGGTAGGAGAGAGAAGAGATGGAGAGAACACCCTTGGTGATGCCAGTGAGGAATCAAATTAACCCACCATGGAACTGCCTGCCTCCAAACCTCCTGTTAGGGGAAATCAAACATTTTTCCTATTAAGTCAGTGGTTCTCAAAGTGTGGTCCCTGAACCTGCAGCATCAGCATCACCTGGGAGCTTATTAGAAATGCACATTCTTGGGCCTTGCCCCAGATCTACTGAATCAGAAACTCTGGGGTGAGGCCCAGCAGTTGGTGTTTTAATAAAGTGATTCCGATGCATGCTAAAGTTTGAGAACCACCAGTCTGAGTTAAAATGAGTCTGGGTTTTTCTACAATTTGCAGTTGAAAGCATCTTTGCTGACTCAAGAGGAGATTCATTTCTGCGATTACCTGCCATGAAACTTAGCACAAACAACTGAGCTATGGAATCAACACCAGCAAGGCTGCACCCAGATACTCATCTGCAAGGAATGTGCAGAATTGGCTTCAGGATTCCGGAGCGGGGGCCACACAGAAAGCCTTCCAACAGGCAGAAGGAAGGGGACTTGGAACTGAGGAAACCCTTGTCAGTGCTCGTGAGGCCTGTGAGAAAGGTGTGTTGTGTCCCGGCTCCTTCCAGCGCCCCAGTGCTGCCTCCGAGGCCAACCCCACACCTTGCACACTGCAGCTGAGGGGTAAGGGGGGGACTCGGTGCTACTCCAGCCTTCCTCTGACAGCTCAGCTTTCAGGCTTCCTCAATTCCCTCTGGGGTTTCACTAACCTTTGAGGCCCCTATTAAGCTGCCAAATAGTAAAAACAACCGGCTGGGCTTCCCAAGTCCACTTGGCAATCTGGACCTTGGGATGCATTTCGACCCAAACTAATGCTGTCTTGGCAGAAAGAGATCCTCACATTAACTTAATCCACACTGTTCCAGAGGTGTGGTAGGATAAAGATGCCATTTTGCTGCATTCTGACTAGTTGTAATAATTTTTTTTTTTTTTTGTAAGGAGGACTAGCCCTGAGCTAACATCTGATGCCAATCCTCCCCTTTTGTCTTGAGGAAGATTGGCCCTGGGCTAACATCCATGCCCATCTTCCTCTACTTTATATGGGACGCCGCCACAGCATGGCTTGACAAACGGCGCATGGGTGCGCGCCCGGGATCCGAACCTGCAAACCCCGGGCCACCACAGCAGAGTGTGCGCACTTAATTGCTGCGCCACCAAGCCCGCCCCCAATAATTTTTTTTTTAATGTGGAAAAATGCCCAGTTCTAACCTTCAAGTGCAGAGTATTCTCCCCGATTAACAAAGGGGGGCACAGACAGACAATTCACACAGAGTTGGACAACTGGGGTTCTGTTGGAGAACAGGGGTAGTATCTGAAAGAATCTTCCTCTGCATTATGACAATTCTTGGCAGCAGTTAAGGGTTCTGTTTTTAAAACTGGGTGTCACTACCAGACAGACATTTGCTGAAAGTTTTCAAGTCCTAGGGAAGACCTGTAAGAATCCAGGTTCAACTTCATACTACCCCGTGTGGTAGAGACGGTCTCCAAAATTCAATTCCTCCCGTTCCTGTATGCACAGGCTGATCCTCACTTCAACAAGTGGAGAGGATTTCCCCTGCCTTGAGACTTTCTTTAATCAATCGAATGAGGAAGAAATGAAGTTCTGAGATTTCTGAGTCAAGGATGTAAGACTGGCAGCTTCCGCGTCCTCTCTCTCACTATAAGGAAGCCCACACTAGACTACCAAATAAGACTATCAGCCACAGGGAGAGAGGCCTGGAGGGTGACAGGTCATCTTGGCTGTTCAACTCTGCCACCAGCTGAGCACAGCTGAGTAAGTGACCCCAGTCAATGCCACAGAGAGCAGAATAATCGCCGCCCCGCTGAGCTCCAGCCTAATTCTCCACTCATGGAATCGTGATAATAATAAATCACTGTTGTTTTAAACCACTAAGTTTTGGGGTGGTTTGTCATGCAGCCATGGGTAAATGAAATACCCTGAGGCCCAAAGAAGGCTTAGGATACCCAGAAATAAGAGTAGGGTATAGTCACGTTCATAAATTTGGACACTGTTGACCTCACATGTGGTGGGTTTGTCAGGAGGACTCTAAAATCAAGGACAGGGCCGGCCCCATGGCTTAGCAGTTAAGTGCGTGCGCTCCGCTGCTGGTGGCCCAGGTTCGAATCCTGGGCGCGCACCGACGCACCGCTTCTCCGGCCATGCTTAGGCCGCGTCCCACATACAGCAACTAGAATGCTGTGCAACTATGACATACAACTATCTACTGGGGCTTTGGGGGAAAAAATAAATAAATAAAATCAAGGACAGATTCTGCTAAAGAAATCGAGCCCTGTGGAGTCTGGCAGGCACTTGGGGAGGTCGGGGTGAGGGTGTGTGGCTCCTGCCTGCCTCCCTTGGGGGAACGGGTGGAGGGCCATGTTCCCAGGGAGGCCTGGGCTACTAACAAGGACACAGCCCTCACAGGGCTAAGCTCGGCTGTGATGTGTCAGGGCCAGGCAACAGCAGGTCCTCTCACGAACAGGGTCGGCTCTGGTCCACTGTTGTTTTATACACGTTAGCATAAAGCCAGCAGGAAGCAGTGTTTATGTCCATCAAAGACATGTGTAAGAGTGTTCACAGCAGCTTTATTCATAAATGGCCCAAAACCGGGACCACTCAAATCCCCATCAGCAGGAGAACGGACAAATAAACTCCTAAATCCATACAATGGAACTCTACTTAGCAATGAAAATAACCGAGCTACCAACACAGGCAACAACATGGTGAATCTCAAAAACATTTTTCTAAGCGAGAAAAGGCAGACCCAAAGGACTCTATACCGTATGATTCCATTTATATGAAGTTCTGGGAGCAGCAAAACGAATCTGGGGCAATAGAGGTCAGAATAGTGGATACCTCTATGGGAGGGGGCTCTTGTCTGGGAGGAGGACAAGAAGGAACTTTCTGGGGTGTGGGATGTGGGAAACGTTCTACTTCTTGATCTGAGTGGTAGTTACATGGATATATGCATATGTAAAAATTCATATCAGCTGTACACTTAAGATGTACACCCTTTACTCTGACCTGTTTCTCAATAAAAAGGTAAAAAAAAAAAATAGCAATGATTAGCAATTCCCTTCTCCAGAATGGAATTAACGAGTCAGCTTAGAGAGAGATTTAATAACTCTTTCCAACTAAAAGAATGAAATATAATCATTTCCTCTGACCAGTATATTAAAGAAATTCTACAGGCCTGATGTCCAATGGTGAACGATTTGATACAAAACGAACTCTGTATTCATGAACCTCACAACCTCACTCTATAAGGAAGTCAGGAAGGAAAGACTGTCCCCACTGAGAGATAAAGAGACTGAGGCCCAAGAGGCTGAAGCTCAGAGAGCCAGTGGCTGAGTGAGGAACAGAACGTACAATACTTACTCCTTGTTCCCCAGTCTCAGAACTAATGGCCCGCAAACTCATCTTAGGAATGGACTGAGCTGTGCAGAACACGGGGCAAACAGCCGTGTTTACCTGACTTTCTGCACCTGACTCAAGGGAGCTGAGATTTCTGCAGTAAACACAGGCTCCGTTTGCCATCTCACCTGGGACGCCACAAGGATCACAGAACATCATAGGGAGGTGTGATCCAGACGGCCCAGAAGAGAGAGCCTCATCAGAAACACGACCTCATGTGAACCGGATGGTTAAGGATGTTAACACCAATAAAAGCCACCAATGTGGGTTCTACTAAAGCAGACACAAGCTGCACTGCACAGGGTCTTCTTTTAATAAAGCCAGCTGTAAGCAAAAATCGAGGGAGGAAACACTGCTCTCAGTTATGAATTTCTTTTTCCTCTGAATGCCTTCCCACGCTAGTATCTCGGTCGGCTGACCCCACTCACCATGTCCATGATCAGATGCCCACAAAGAAAACACCTGTCAGCAGACTGCTGGAATCCAGAGTACTGCAGAGGAGAGAGAAGAACAAGTTAGCCCAGGCAGGCAGACGGATCCAGCCGCCTCCCCGCCAGTCCAGAGGAGAACAAGGGATTTCCAAGAAAGATGTGTTACTCGGTACAGGAGTCTGTCATTTCCCTGAGGACAACGCCGTTGTGATGAATCACGGAATATCTTCTGTATTACAAACACTAGCACCACTCGCCCTTACAACAGCTGTGTCCGGCACCCATGACATGCCAGGCTCTGTGTAAGAGGCTGGGCATGGAGAGGCTTTCATCTCGAACCCAGTGGTTCTCAAAGAGAAGTTTCCTGGCATCACCTGGGAACTTGTTAGAAATGCAAATTCTTGGGCTCCACCCCAGACCTACTGAATTGAAAATTCAGGGGGTGGGACCTTGCAACTGTGTTTTCACAAGCCCATCAGGGGAATGTGATGCAGGCCCAAGTTTGAGACCACTGCTCTAATCCTTAAAACAATTCTGCAAGGTATATATTATATTGAGAAGTGGAAGCAAAGGAAAGCTCAGAGAGTTTAAGTGAACGTCTCAAGGTCACACAGCCTACAAGAGGTAAGGATAGCATTCAAACTCAAGTCTGATTCTGGTTAAAAAGCCAATGACTTTTATAGTTAGCTTCAAAGAAATTCAATAAATATTATCTGCCTTACCTTACCAAAACACACACACAGCTGGAGTCTTGAAAGAAACGAAGAACTCACTTCAGAAAACATACTAGATACTATGCACTGGAAGGTACTAGAAGCTTAGATATTGCAACATTTAATGGGGGAAAATGTAACGGAAAGGAAGGAAGAAAGAAGGAAAAAGGGAAACTTTCTGCCACTCTACACCATGTAACGTACTGGAGGTTTCTGCTGCCTGGCACCTCCTCCCCATTCTAGGAGTAAGACACCCCACATCCCACCTTGTGGTCCCCATGATTCCTGGGGCTGACCCCACGCTGGGTTCCAAGGCGGGGCACTGACTCAGACCTGGCCAATCGGAGCCTCGCATTCCTCCAGCGCCAATGATTTTGCCCAGGGATGGACGTGTGACCCACAAGAGCCAGTGAGCCCACGGGTGCAGGACAGGCACCTGGCCCTTCAGATTCAAAGCAGAGAATGCAAACTCTGGAGTGCTGCTGCCACGTGGCCATCACAGAGGCCTGAGATGAGCCAACAGGGTGAGAGGCAGGGCCAAAGACTGAAGGGAAATGACTCCCGGGCACAAAGCTGGAGTGCGTTTCCTTCTTGCTAAGCCAGTTTGGGTTTGCTTGTGTGTTATTGGCAAACACGAGTCATGATGAATCAACCCTCACACTCACAAGGAAGCAGGGCCCGAGCCACCTCCGGGTCTCACGTTCCTCACCCCTGAAACGCAGGGTCAGTTCAACTACCACGTACCGAGCACCACCCCATGCTTGGCCTTGTGTTAGGACCTGAAGATGTAAAGGTGAAGAAGCGCGTTCTTCCCTCCCTAGGAGCTTACGGTCAAGTCGGAGAGAAAGACTTGTAAAGGGATGCAATGCAGTGCGCTGACTGCTCTGCCAGGGCAAGACCCGGCCAGGCGGCAGTGCAGATGAGGGGCGCTGCACTGTAGGGGTACAGGGTCAAGGAAGACAGCCGAAGCTATCAGGGCAAAGAAAGGGTGAAGACATTCCAAGCAGGGGAGACGGCACAAGCAGAGGCATGAAGGTATGAGGCTCTGGAGCGTGCAGAGAACAGCAAGCAGCAGAGTGAGCGAGACAGGAGGCCGGCAGCTCCAGATCGCAGAGCTTCTGCACATGCTTTGAACCCTGGAGACAGGGGGCCTGGGCGGGCTGGGTTGCCACCTGTGCAGGCAGTGTGGAGGAGGCCCTTAGGGTAGCCTGGCTGAGCCACGCTGACCTGTGAGCTAAGCAGGCCCAGGGAAGGACAGGGTGGCACAGGGCTCAATGCTTGGCCGCATTCTGGGAGAGATGAGGAGGAGGAGGGGCCAAGGAAGACCCTGGGAGACTGTGCTGAGAGACAGGAGCCAGGCAAGGTGATGATTCTGCTTCAGACAAATGGAGTGTGAGGGGCTAGGGGACAGCCCAGGGGACTGTCCAGTGGGCAGAGAGATGTCAGCAGCTGGCCTCAGAGGTGCTCACGGGGCTGGAGCTCAGATCTGGGAGTCACTGGCACATGGATGGACTTTCGATGCGTGGGAGAGGCTGGATTTCCATGGAGAGCAGGCAGGATGAGAAGAGGGCCCGGTCCCAGTGCAGAGGTTTAAGAGACGGGTGGAGCAGGCAGGAATGTGCAAAGCGACAAGAGGACAGGCCAAGTGACCCTCAAATCCCTTCAAAGCACAGAGCTCTGCAGTTTGTCATTTGTCTTGGGAACATGGGCCACCCCAGCCATCTACAGAAGGGAAGTCAGGACCCCTTTCTCCAGCAGTGCAGCTTCCCAGCAGCGCTGGGCATCATGGGGAGAAATCGCCCTCTTCTGCTTGGCCCGGCCCCTCCGCATGCTCCCTGCTGACTCTGATCAGGATGGGGGGGAGGGGAAGCTTGGGTGACAAACTCACCAGGAAGTCTTCCTCACAGAACACTTTGCCGTTGACAAAATAAAAGGCTTTTCCTCTCAGCTTCCGGCCTAAGGAAGAAACACAAGGACAGGGTAAAAAGAAAATGTTAATATTCAGGGAAAAGAGAGAGAAAAGGCAAAATCTTTTTAAGCAGAAATAAACATGCAAAAAATGCCAGCTGTCGATAATAGTTTCTGGTTACTGAAGCTGCTGTGGCCCTTGGCAATGGGTGGGCAGAGGCCAAAAGAAAGGGTCCTCGGTGGGTGCTCCTTGGCGGGAAGACCCAGGGCTGACTTGGGAATCATCCTGCGCCCACTTCTCACACCTCCTCTCTGCTGAGAAAGAAGCCAGCAAGACACGTGGTGACAGGACAGCAGAGGCACACACACATGGGGGTACTGGGCAACAGTCTCTAATGAAGCTGCTGTTTCCCACAGGCGTTAAGACCGTCACATTTGACACGTTCTCCGTGGGACGCTGGTGACAACCTATCAAGAAAGTCCTACAAATTGGTCAACTCTTATTTTCCTTATTTTCATCTGAACTACAGAAAACACATATTGTCGAAAAGATAATGATTTCTCCTGTTTTCTCTTGCTCTAAATGGGGTGGGCAGGAGTGGGAAAAATTCAAAGCACCCGACTCATTAGATGTAACTTTAGTTTCCATGGAGCTAGGACACTGACAAGAATAACATACTTTTTCAATTCCTTTGATCTCTTACAAAAACACACAATGGGGCCTTGTGTTCAAAGCAAGCAGGAGCGTCTTTATGGGAGACCCTGGAGACTCAGCGCATTCCCAGACCTGGGAGCATTTCCAGAGCCAGGCACAAAACATACCCAACAGACTTCGCGGGAGTTTCAAAAACTGAACTAATTCTAAACACTAGTGGAATCTAGCCCCTTGGGGCTAGGGTCCACATGAAACCAAAATCACCAATGTCAGAAACATTAACCGTGCGCAAAACACAGAGAAATCCCCTCGACAAACACTGCATGCCCTCGGCTTGTGACTCCAGAGCAGGCAAAGAGCACAAGGCGACGGAGAAGAGACTGTCAGTGCAGACTTCTTGGGGCTCAGGGAGGAATCTGAAAGCGTCAATGCAGAGGAAAAGCCACAAGCAGGGAAATACATTTAACTACAAAAGCAAAAACCTCCAGACGGACTAAAGGCTTCAGTGTGAAAAACAAAAGCTATTATGAGAAAATACACACAACTGTCTGACTTTTATACTGTATAAGTCATGATTTTACCTTTTAAAAAATTTTTTTCCTGTAACTCACTTATTTCCTTTCATAACCCACAATGGAAATTGTAGTGTGACTAGTTTTTGAAGTGGTCTAAAATAATTAAGTAGAAATAATTAAAATTTTTAAGTAAATAAATACAAAAAATTAAAATAAAAAAAGAAATGAAAGGCAAGCCAGGAATCAGAAGATGGCTACAACATATAAAACAAGGTACTAGTGTCTAAAACATATAAAGAACACCAATAATCATAAGAAAAAGATAAGTAACCCAATGGGAAAAATGAGCCAAGGATAGGAAGGGAAGGGGCAGAGAAGAGAAAACCCGTTAAACTTTAGGCAATAACCATTTAAAAAGATGTTCAATCCCACCAGCAATCAGGATCTGCAAATTAAAACCACAATGAGATGCTACCTCACTCCCAGATGGGCAAAAATCCGGAAGCCTGATACCACCATCCGCATCCCAGTGCAGGTGTGGGACGAGAGGAAGGCTTTCACACTGCTGGGGGGCTGTCGACAGGCATGAGCACTTTGGGAAGAATTTGCCAAGAGCTCGTAAAGCTGAAAATCCACATTACTCACAACATGCCCCTCGAGAAGATCTCCCAACATGCAGGGGGAGATGCACACACAGATGCTCACTGCAGCACTGAAATGAAAACCCAGAAACCTAGAAGCATCTTCAGTCTTCACCAATAGAGAAAAATTGATCAATACACTGAAGAAGAATGTGGAGTTACATTTAATGGATGCGATACTATACAGCAATCAAAATGAATGAACTAGATCTGTGCAATCATTATGAACTGAACTGAACACACTCGTGCAAATAAGGAAAATTGCTCAATGATGCAGTAATATGAGAGGTAGTACATATGTAAGTTAAAGCAAGCACACATACACACACAAACTAGTACTATATACTGTTGATTGATACTGTATATGTGGTCACAGTATAAAAGCTGGGACTGGAAGGATCCAGACACTCAATTCATAATAGCAGCTGCCCTGGGAAGGGGGAAATGAAATGCAAAGGGGAACCAAGATGATACCAATTTACCTGTAATATTCTACTTTCTTTATTAAAAATAAGCCAAAATTGGGCCAGCCCTGTGGCTTAGTGGTTAAGTGCTCGCGCTCCGCTACTGGCAGCCCAGGTTCGGATCCCGGGCGCACACCGACGCACCGCTTCTCCGGCCATGCTGAGGCCGCATCCCACATACAGCAACTAGAAGGATGTGCAACTATGACATAAAACTATCTACTGGGGCTTTGGGGAAAAAAGGAGGAGGATTGGCAATAGATGTTAGCTCAGGGCCGGTCTTCCTCAGCAAAAAGAGGAGGATTAGCATGGATGTTAGCTCAGGGCTGATCTTCCTCACAAAAAAAAAAAAAAAAAGCCAAAATGACAATATATAAATGTTTGTGCATTCTGGGTGGTAGGTAAATAAGGGTTATTTCCTCTAGTACTTTCTTGTAGTTTTTAAACTTCACACACACAAACACACACACAACTTCTTTAAGGAAAATACTACAAATCAAAAGGCAAATGTCAAACTAGTAAAACCATCTGCGCTACGTGACAAAAAAGAACTTAACTCCAATATGCAAAAAACTAACAGTCCAATATAAAAAAAATGGGCAAAGAATGGAAAAAGACGAATAACAAAACTAGTAGGAATGATGAACGAATATAAGAGAAAATCTTTAACTTTTCTCACGATTTTTTTAAGTTGCAAATTAAAATAACGTACCATGCTTTATCTATTCAACTGGCAAAGGTTTAAAACAACAGCAGTGTTAGCAATGACACTGACAGACAGACACTCTCTACTCTGTGGGGATAGGAGAAATGGTAACAAGCTTTTAAGAGAAAACTTGATATCAAATATCAACAGAATTTAGAAAGTTCAGATTATTTTGACCCAAAAATTCTACTGCAGAAATTTATTCTAGGGAAATAATCAGAGTCAGACTGTCTGAAGGATCTTCATCTCAGCATCATTTATAATACCTTATGAAAAATGAGCATCAATCAAATGTCTAATTCCTATCAAATAAGCTATGGCATATGTACTATTATGCAGTCATAAAAAAGACTGAGCAAATTGGTGATTTTTAATTAGTTTTTTCCGTAATGACTAAATTATTTTTATAGCCTGAAACAAACTTTAATCGAGTGAGGGAGTGTGAAAAGGGCAGTGGGCATATGCTAGAAAGCGACAAGTCTAGCTCTCTAAACCTTCTCTCCTGTCCTTCCCTCAAAGTTAGTTACCCTCTCTTCTAGAAGGTTCCCATTCTAGAACCTTCACAAGCATTTCCTGACTCTGCTAAGCTAGGGTAACAAGAATGAGTGCCTGTAGCTATGTGATTTCAGGGTTCACTGACAGAACCCCCTGGCAGCCATGGAAGTTAATTTTAATTACTTTACTTATAACTTTCCCCTCTATAAAAAGAGTCCAGAGGACTCAAAGTTTTAGAAAGGAGAATGAGAAGTAACTAGAGTATCCTTTCCACCTGCTGTCCCCATCAGGCACCTGGCTGAGAGCTGATCTGCTGCCTCTAGTTCCTCCCCAGCAGCCAAGGTGACAAGGACACAAACAGCCCACTCTAAGAGAAGCTGCCTAGCCACGAAGGAAAACAATCCCCACATTCTCTGACACAAGTGAAGCCCAGGTCCAGACCCGTCTGTGGGGCTCCCTTGTTTTGCCGCTCCCTTCTGGGATTTCCCACAGGGATGAACCCAGTTCTGATGAGAGGAACGGAGGCGAGGCTGCAGCTGCAGATGAAGCCACTAGAAGGAGCAAGGAGGCGGCCTGGACTCGGCACAGGACTTCCTCGAGAGAGAAGCTTCTGACCCCATGTGTGGAGAATGCCCAGTTCTAGTTCCTGGAATGGGGTCCATGAAGTTCTAAGGAATCTGAGCAGGAATTAATTTTTTGTTCTAATAGAGGGCAGATCACTTGTGTTCCAAAAATCATAGAGGAAGATCATCAACCATGCCAAAGCATTGAACCCTTTAGTATTGTAAGAAACACAAATTAAAGAGTTTTTTCACTTAAGATATCAACAAAGGTTTTTGTGTGTGTGCGCGTGAATGAGGAAGATTGGCCATGAGCTAATATCCGTTGCCAATTTTCTTCCTTTTGCTGAGGAAGATTCACCCTGAGCTAATGTCCGTGCCCATCTTCTATTTTGTATGTGGGACACCACCAGGGCACGGTTTGATGAGCGGTGCATAAGTCTGCACCTGGGATCCGAACCTGCGAACCTGGGCCGTCAAAAGCGGAGAGCACGAACTTAACCACTACGCCACTGGGCTGGCCCCAACAGAGATTTTTTTAGATGATCACATTCATTTGTGATTGTTGTCATTGCATAATTCTGTAAGTTACTGACAAGAGTGCAAAATGATAAACTTTTCCCGGAGAGGAAAATTTAAAATGTTTATCTCTGATTCAGTGGGGTTGTCTGGCACTTAGCTTAGGGAAAGAATCAGAAATAGGAAGAAATGTTTACTTAGATCCAAAGTGGCAGCCTTAAAGAAATGATCAAATAAAACAGACTACATCTAAATGATGAAATATTATGTAGCCATTTAAAATGCCATTCAAGTGTTTTAGTGATATTGGAAAATGCTTATACTATCGAAGGATATTCAGAATACATTAGTAAGTGAAAAAAATCAAGCTAGACAACTCTATAGTACAATTCCATTTCAGTAACCTGTACACATACACACACACACACACTCCCCCCATTGATATGAAAAAAACCCTGGAAGATTGCACACTAAAACTAATAGCGGTAGCACT